TAGAAACAAAGTCAAACTATTGAAGGTAAGTTTTAGAATACCAAAACCTCGATCTAACCTCACTTCTCATCACCGTATAAAGTTATATAAAAATAGCTTTCTGATTAAGAGGAGGAAAAGACAAGTGACTGGTTTCAAATAAGCAAGTAATTGCATATTCCATCCCCTTTGTCGATGGAAGGTAAGGCTGGCTCAATTAATATTACAGAAGGCCTTCAATTGAATGAAAGACCAAGCAATGAGACTGAGGCTCACCTTATTTTGGGGCGGCTCATCTCCAAGTATGACTCAAGCGTGTCCAATTTAGATCAATTCGAGAAAGAAGTCAAGAACCCAGCCGGAGCGTTGTATCCATCACACTTTCCTTCGGCCACTGGGAGAAGCGCAGCAGAAGATAGATGAAGGAACCAACCTCTCCTAAAAGATATCCACGCAATTGAACCAAACAATAACAAAATTAGTATACTTCTGGACAACAAATCAGTACACTCCGGTATAACCTCCGCTCAAAATGAAAACTTAGGCTAAAAATGAAACGATAAAGAAAGAAGAGAAGCAAAACAGGAAAAGTGGAAAACAAATCTTAGCTCATCTTCTGGTTTGTGGGGGCGGCTTCGGTTGACCATGGGGTGTGAGGTCCGTCCTATTTCGAAGAATTGTTGTGTGTCTTCCGTTTCAGCATTTGGAAGCAGGGATAACATTATGGCAGCATGGTTGGCATCCGTGGTGTCAGTGGTATGAGCTGGTAGCCACGCCAATAATACCAGAAAGGGCCAGAATTGTATCAGCAACGGTAGTAAGGGGTGCATCACTAACAAAGGCAACTTCAGTAAATAGGGAGGGGGGAAGATTGGTAGCCACGCCAATAATACCATTGGTATTAGTGGCTGCTACCTCAGCAGTAACAAAGGGGCCATCATTTGAATCATCAACAGCAGGGGTTTCATAGACAAGTTAGGCATCCATATCAGCAAATTCAATCATAGAAGATTCAACAAGAGGAACATATATTTCAATCTCAACTGGGGCAACAGAGATAGAACCAAGAGCTATCACTAAAGCATCATTTGCAATAACATCACTAAGATGAGTACTAACAGGGATTAAAGGGACAGTATCATTGTTCTTAGAACAAACTGCGCCTAAGTTAACCTCAGCTTCCAAATAATCGGAAGACATCATAGGTGCCGATTCGAAGTTAATCAAGAAATATTTGATTAAAGCAGTCCGAAGTCCGACAGAGTAGGGGTTGGAAAACCCCATCGCCTCAAAGGCCTTAGGAATGGAAGGGGGAGGGGGCATTAAAGAAAGTACCGACAAGGGCATACCGGAAATTGATTGAGAAAACCTGTAAATCTTCCTCAGAGAAAGATACCGCAGGGTATCCATTAACAGACCCGAAAGGTTTGGGTGGGAATCCCAGCGGAGCAGCATCAGAGAAGGAGCTTGTTTGAGTGTGCAAGCGTTGGCCGGGGAGTGGTTCCCTTACCGCCACAACACCAATTTCGAACAAAAAAGGCAATCGCACACAGCAAAATAGGATAAGAAATCTTACCGGGGAAGCAATGATACTCAGGGCGTCTTCGGCGGAAGGACTGTTGTGAACTCGGGGCGGCTTCAGCGGAAGGATTTTGCGAACCCTAGACTATCAATTCGAAGAGCTAAGAAAGGAAAGAAGTTATACGGAGTATCTGGGCATCGCAAGAGAAAGAACCGGATATTATCTCGCTGTCTCAAACGGAAGACAACAGTGTGAACCACGAAAACGAGCTTCCTTCCGCACTGCTTTAACGGAATAGGACCATAGTAACCATCATTGGCTCTTTATATATATAGTAAGATATATATATATATATATATATATATATATATATATATATATATAGAGAGAGAGCTCTTCTCATCAGGCCGGCCTGACGGGCTGCCCCGTCCGGCCGAGCCCGTTTGGGCACCTTCCCGGTGGAATTTTTTGATGAAATTTTTTGAGCATGTTCCTCATCAAGTCTAGTTTGTCCATACCAAATTTCAGCTCAAAATTCGATCGGGAAGGTCGTCAAATGATTTTTACAAGTTAACTGGTCCGGAAAATACATTTGGAGGGGGATAAAACTCAATTATGATAATGTTTAGGATCATGAGTACCTTCCTTTTCCATATAGATGTTCCCCTTACACTTTTAGACAATTGTGACCACCCAAGAATCTGAAAAACCTTAGTGAAATTGATTTGTTGGCCAAGGAGCAGGCAACAACATTGCAAGAATATACAATCTCTGAGTTTTCTTTGTTTCTTACTGATCCTGAGACGAAAAATAGTTCAAGACAGTTAGCATAATCTTCTAATTAGTTGTATTCTCATGTATATACACAGAGAAGGCATGCTTGAAACCATATGTTTGAGCCCATCCACTGCAAACGCCATATATTTTCGAAAAACGGCAAGGTGGAAATGTAGTTTCTTCATCCAAACTCGTTATATAGGTACCAAAGGCTTGTAAAGATGTTCAAAAGCCTGAGATTTATATCACTTCAAAACAGATAAAAGAAAAATATCAACTCTAAGGCTAACATCAAATTTCACGGAGATTGAAAATCTTGCCATCAGTTAAAAAGTCATCACTTTTTAAACATATAAATTCCAAAAAGATCTAAATTCACAATTGAATTACAATAAGCACACAAAAAAAAGAGTAAAAGGAGAATGTTATTTACCCATACAGGATAATAGCACTTTGATTCTATGTTTTATTAGCATAAATCTGACACGGAGTACATTTTAACATAGTTCAATGGTGCTTGCTATCCACATAGCAGATAAGCAAATAAGAAGAACATTATATTCTATAGTCGGATGCGGAATTTAGGTAAGCTGTCAAAGGTATTTTCTAAACTGGCAAAAATGGAAAATAACAGAACAAGGATACATGATACATATATGAAAAAGAGTATGAAATCGAAGTATTCACAGGGAGTGGACGAAGCTAATGAACTTTACCGTGTGAGGCAACCGATGAATTGTGAAAGTTTTGGGAACATGTCGGTCTCGCAGCTCTTCCGGTCTTGCCCAATTGCCTGGCTTTCATATTCCGCATGCGCTATAGCCCTAGTGCTCTTAGCCGTCTCTCGTTCTTCGTTCTACTTCTGTGGAGCGACTCATGGGTGCCAACAATCGAGCTTTAGCGATTTAAACATCCCAATTAAAAATGCTGAAAGGTGAAAAGTCTGGGAGAGGTTAACGAAAAGAATAAAGAACGACTGGAAGGGTGAAAGACCTTCAAGAGGTTAACGAAACAGAGAAGATCAGAACCTCACGAGAGTGTTAATTAACGGAAGACGCGGGTAGAAAGCAATGAAAATAAGAAAGGTACTATGAATTTATCGTGATGTACAACTATACATAGTTTAGGTTTACCACCAACAAAATTTTATTCTTAAAAGGGTATTTTACCCTCATTGATCATTATAATATTTTTTTATTATTTTATTATTATTTATAGATAGATACTATGATGTTAGAGCTAATAATGTAATAGTCTAAGGACTTATGTGTAAACTCTTAAACCATGTTTTATTATAAATAGATGGTCAAGGCACCCTAAAGGGCAAGCCATTATTATTTTAACAAAATTATTCTTTTGTACATAGTATATGGTATCAGTTGCTTAGGGTTTTGTGATCCTCCCTTAACATGGACGGCGCCGCCGCCTAAACCATCGATGCAGCCGCCACGGCAGCCGCCACTGCAGCCACCTATGTAGCACCGATAAGGGTACGCGGAAACGCGGAAACGGGTACGAGGATACAACAAAACAAAAAAAAATAGGATACGGATACAGGGCCATATTTATAAATATTAAAAGTTATGTGGGTGTATTTATAAATATTAAAAGTTACAGGAGTGTATTTATAAATATTAAAAATACAATTTTTTTTTTTTAAAAATAGACATATTATTCGTTGACGTCTACTCATTCATGTTATTGAAACATTTTACATTTTCAAAATACTTAGAAATAAGTTCATGTACACTAGTGCACCTCGAAATATAAATATAGTCAATAAGTCATTAATTTTAAATGAGAAATGTAGTTAATAAGTCATTAAAAATGAGAAATAAGTCGATAAGAAAAAGAGAAATAAGTCAAACAACTACATTTTTTAAATTAAAAGTGCAAGTATTCAAAGTTCTAGAATAATAAATATAGAAAACAATATTTTAAAAGTTCTAATACATATTTCCGTTGGAGCTATTAATTTTCAGGGATAATTAGAATTAGGGATGGGAGGATGGTTGAATTAGGTATAGGCACATTAGTTGTGTACCACATAAAAGCAAGGTCAAAATTATTTTGGGAAAATAGAAAGTAATAATCCAACCTTTTAGCGGTCTTCTTACAATAGTCCCACATTTTGATTATTCATGAATAATCCAACCTTTGCACCTCATCTTCATTCACTGGTCCCTGACCGGTTGATGACCTGTTATTCCAAGTTATTTTCTTATCTTTGCAAAATATTATCTTTGTGAAAGGTGAGATTTATGGTATAATGGTTTACAAAGATAAGAAAATAACTTGGAATAACAGGTCATCAACCGGTCAGGGACCAGTGAATGAAGATGAGGTGCAAAGGTTGGATTATTCATGAATAATCAAAAGGTGGGACTATTATAAGAAGACCACTAAAAGGTTGGATTATTAGTTTCCATTTTCCCAATTATTTTTAACTTTTCGTTTTTTAAGAATTTATTATGTAAAATTTGAGTGTTTTTAAAAAAGTTTTTGGAAGTTTTTTTTTTAAAGTTGATACGTGTATCCGTCAGGATACGAGTATCCAAAATTTTAAAATAATTACCGAAAAAATGGAAACTTTTAAAAATTGCAGATACGACCCAGGAACGTACTGTACGGGTATCCTAGAGTATCGAATATGGGAACTTTTCCTATACGCCGATCCGGCACCCTAGTGAAGTATCTGTGCTTCATAGGTAGCCACCACATTGGCGCAACAACCGCCGCATACCCTAACGTCCAAGATGCACACCGGTAATCTTCTGCCTTCTTCTTCTACAGTAGCCGCATCCCAGGGCATGTTAAGCAGCGATGCTTCATTCCTGCCGCATCACACCTGCGCGATGGAATTCTCCTCTGGCTCCACAACTACGCTCGCTGCTTCTCCATGACTTCCCACTGTTAGCACAGGACAGCAGCTTGACTCCTACCGGCTCTTTCACATGCCTGGGCCATTTATGTGGAGCCCCTCACCAGTCTCAGTACCATCCTTCTTCCCTACAGCAGCCTACGAGTTCATGGGAAAGTCATCACACAACATCGGCCGGTCCATGGTTTATTCTGGTCCCAAACTTTCTGGTCAGTCCAGAGTTTCGCCCATGCCGCCTGCTCCTATATCTCATCTGCCAGGTTTTTCATCACCTCCTACGTATTTATCATCCCTAGCATCTCAATTGGCATTCTCAACCCCGAATGTTACTAATATTGTAACTACACGGTTGAGGATTACCTACCATGGCACACCCAGTTTGAATCTTTTATCGTATCTCACAGTCTTCTTGGGATACTAGATGAATCCATTCTGGTTCCAACACCTACTATTTGTGATCTGGCTAGGCGTGACACACCTAATCTCGACTATCATCATTGGCTAAAAATTGATCAAACAGTTAGGTCCTGGTTATTTTCCACACTGTTTAGGGATATTTTATTAGAGGTGTATGATCTAAATTTTCTCATTTAATTTGGGAACGTCTTAAGAGTCATTTTCAGTCTGCTTGTTTAGCACATTCCATGGAGCTTAAAAGAATGTTATCTCATGTTAAGAAGAAAGACTCACAAAATATGGATCAGTATTTGTTAGAAATTAAGCTCATGGCAGATAATCTGGCAGCTATAAATTCCCCGGTTAGCAATAAGGATTTGATTGAATATGCCATTCTTGGTCCGGGCCGTGATTACGAGTCTCTCATCACCGCTATTACATATTTTCCGGGGAATGCTCACCGACTAGTCCTCAACACCCGGACAGTCCGCTGCAGGAGTTCACGTCTACCCCAGATGCGTCTCTGGCAGCCTTTGTCCCTACGCCTACTTATTAAAATATTCATCCTATGTGTACTTGTTCCAAGGCTGGTATTCTTAAACCAAAAACTATTTTTAATTTGAGTGTTTTTTCTCCACCGAATGATCCTACTTGTTTTACACATGCTAATAAAAATATTATTTGTCGGGCTGCCATGGTTGACGATTTAATGCAGTAATTGCTAATAGGACATGGAATTTAGTACCTTGGGACTCCAGTAAAAATGTGGTTGGTTGTAAGTGGATTTATAAGACGAAATATTTTTTCTGATGGGTCTGTTGAGCGTCATAAGGCTCGTTTAGTTTCCCAATGTTTTAAACAACATGCTGACATTGATTTTACTGAAAAATTTTTAGTCATGTTGTTAAACCTACTATTGTTCGGCTTGTTCTCTCTGTTGTTGTATCCTTAGGCTTGTCAGTTCGTCAACTAGATGTTAAAATGCCTTTTACATGGTTATTTAACCGAGGAAGTCTATATTTGTCAACCTCAGGGTTTTGTTCATCCATCTTTTCCTAACCATGTATGTCGTCTTCGAAAGGCACTTTATGGCCTTAAACAGGCTCCTCATGCCTGGTTTCATATATTCAGTGGCTTCTTGTTAAGTCATGGTTTTGTTAAGTCTGATTCCTCCATGTTTGTTTATCGCTCTCACTCTCAGGTTGTGTACATTCTGTTATATGTCGATGATATTTTAATTACAGTGTCCTCTGTTTCCTTTGTCAAGTGTCTATTCAGTTTGCTATGAAGCATTTGGGAGATATTCATTATTTTTTGGGCATTCGGGCTCGTCGTACACCTTCAAGTTTATTTCTCTCTCAGACTAAATATATACTCCCTCCGTCCCCCTAAGTTTGTCCCGTTTTACCTTTTTCGTCCGTCCCACTAAGTTTGTCTCATACCATATTTGGTAACATTTGAGTGGTTAGAATCCATTCTTACTTTATTTACACTTTATCAATTCAATATCAACCACACAATTCCACTTTTTCTTAAAAACCACACCACACCCCTCCGTCCCAAACTTAGGGGGACGGAGGGAGTATCTGATTCATTGCATCGTTTTCTTCTTCATATGGTCAAACCTGTGTGCACCCCCCCATTTCTTCTCGTACTACATTGTCTCTCACAGATGGAGAACTCTTAACTGATGGTACCGAATACCGCAGTATGGTAGGTGTGTTACAGTACTTGACTATAACTAGACCTGACATTACATGTGTTGTACATCGGGTATCTCAGTTTATGCATGCTCCACGAACCTCACATTTATTGGTTGTCAAGAAAATTTACAGGTATTTGCAGGGCACCTCTACTCATGGGTTGTGGTTGAAATCGGATAAGCACATCGCTATCATCAGAGCCTATTCGGATGCTGATTAGGCCGGATGCCCAAATAGTTCTCGTTCCACTAGTTGTTTCTTGGCAACAACTTGATTTCTTGGCGATCGAAAAAGGAACCCCCTGTGTCAAAATCTTCTACAGAACCTGAGTACACGGCCATTGTTTACACAGTTCAGATTCAGCACCAGTTCAGTTGCATTGTGATAGTGTCTCTGCTTCCTATCTGGCTGTGAATCCCATTCATCATGACAGGAGCAAGCACATTAAAATTGACTACCATTTTGTACTGGAGCGCGTGGCCCATGGAGATCTCATAGTTAAATATATTCCTACTCAGTTACAATTAGCAGATATTTTTACTAAAAATTTATCTAGCCAACGTGTTGAGTTTTTGCGCTCCAATCTGCGCGTTGTTTGTGCTGCACAAATTGAGGGGGTGTAATAATATGTAATAGTCTAGGGACTTATGTGTAAACTCTTAAACCTTGTTTTATTATAAACAGATGGTCAAGGCACCCTAAAGGGCAGACCATTTTTTCCAAAATTATTCTTTTGTATAAGTGCAACTATTGATTTTATTATGAGCACACAACAGTTTTAGTGCTGTCAAATTTGGCGTCGGTTACCGCAGAAAGGCAACTATATTTCTTTTGTGAAAAATCAGAAACATAAACACACACACACATATATATATATAATATTTCTTTTCTGAGCTTTAAAAGAGTACATGGTATGAATCTGTTCCATAAAAAGACATCACCTACCAAATAGACCCAAAAATAGAACAAACCTTCAAGGGGTTGAAAAATAAAATTTCAAATACCACCTCAGAAGAATCATCAAACAATAGCTCCAACGAATCCAAGGAATCCATTCATATGCGGGAGAAACAAGGACCTTAAGGGAGCTCACATCCCCAAATCTCTATCAACAATCCTTATGTATCACGTTTCTCACTCTTAATGTCACACCCGGACCTACCCGGACACGTCACAACCGCTGTACAGTTCGAATAAGTCAACTGAAGTGAAGAATATGTGTAATATACTAGGCATCATGAATATCACTCACACATAGTACATCCATAAACAAACATAATGTAAAACATTCATTCAAGCAACGAAGTTAATACATCAAGGGTTCAAGCCACATTGGGCAAAGTTAGGCATGCGAGCCTGATAACCCGCTTTCGCGGCGTTGTAGTAAAACGGAGCCTAACCTTTCGGTTTTCCCCGAGTATCGTGTCTCTGAGGAGTGGCGGAGGGAAGTGTTGGTTTCAATATCGGTCACCGGTTAGTACGAGTCATTGCAAGCTTTCTCAAACGATTAGATTGTGATAATGATTAACCAAATAAAAATAAACAATAAAAGTAAGGGAAAATGGAAACTAATAATCCAACCTTTTAGCGGTCTTCTTTCAATAATCCCACCTTTTGATTATTCATGAATAATCCAACCTTTGCATCCCATCTTCATTCGTTGGTCCCTGATCGGTTAATGACCTGCTATTCCAAGTTATTTTCTTATCTTTACAAAATATTATCTTTGTGAAAGATGAGATTTATGGTATAATGATTTGCAAAGATAAGAAAATAGCTTGGAATAGCAGGTCATCAACCGGTCAGGGACCAATGAATGAAGATGAAGTGAAAAGGTTGGATTATTCATGAATAATCAAAAAGTGGGATTATTGAAAGAAGACCACTAAAAGGTTGGATTATTAGTTTCCATTTTCCCTAAAAGTAATAACTGTGAATTTAATTAAATGGCATTATTGAGTAAACTAAAACTAGTGAACATGCAAAATAACTAAAGAGAGAAAATTAACTAATTAAAATATTAAACTAGCAAACATGTGGATGAGTAAAGTTTCGGAAATAAAATACTTAAAGGTAAATTCAATGTGACTAGTAACGAAAAATTAGTTAATTAAAAGTGGGGTCTAGATTTGGAATTAAGGATATTGGGTGTCTTTGGACTATGAACAAATATGGGAAACTTTCTCCAATTTAAGAATAGTGATATATTAATTCTCATAGACAAGAACTTGATTTTAATTCCCCTAACATGTCCTATTTCTAGGCTTAGTTTAGGGTGTGTGAGATGTGAGCTAAATTAATTCCAAACTCATAGACAAGAAAGAATTAATCTTCCAAAAATTCACAAGTGAAGTGATCAATTTCACAAATTACTCTTTCAATTTCATCTCAAACAACTAGTCCTAAAAACTAGAAAGTTTTCCCAAATTCAATTCAATATTCAAGAACACCCATTAATTTTAACTTTATCCAAATCCAAACCCCATGGAGAATTACCCTAGCATATTTATCAAGAAATTAAGACAATTAACTAAAGAGCTAGAGTAATATGTGGATATAGTTGAGCAGTAATTCAACATCAGTAACAAATGCAATTGTCCAAGTAAATAGCAATTCTGAATACGAAATACTCCAGGAATTAGACTTAAAGTTTATTAAAGTAAGAATCTAAGCATGAAATAATTAAGATTGAAACTGAAAGATGATGAAATAAACCGAAAATTCAGTAGCAGGCGTTCTCCTTTTCCCTTCTGCTCGCAGGTTTCATCTCTGCGGATCAGCTCCTTCTCTCCATGCCCAGCAAACTATTTGCTACCTGAGCTACTGCCGACTAATTTCTTTAGTTGTTGCCGATCCAGAATTGACTCCCAGGCTGAATGATTGCTGGTGTGTATTCTCCCGTTCTTGCTGCTAAGTGCAGCTTCCTTCCGATCCAGAGCTACTTGCCGCTTAATGATTGCGGGTGTGAATTGTTCTGCGGCAGAATGCTCTCCCAGGATTTTATCTACTTTTTTTCCTTTGCTGTGACTGATGGATCGAGCCCCTGTCCCTTCTCGTTTGGCCGCCCATGTGCCGCAGCTGGCTGCTAGCTTTCGTCCTCTTGTTTTTTGTTGGCCGACTACTCCCATCATATGTGCCTTGTTTTTATTTTCATTTTTGGTTTCTTTTTCTTTTCTTTATTTTTGTTTTCTTTTTTGAAATGCAGCCACGCTGCTTTATTTTTTTTTTTGTATGTTTTCTTTGTTTTTCACGCAGCTTAGCTGCAGTTGTTTTTTTATATTTTTTGCTTTTCTTTTGATAAACTAATGCACTTCATTGGTTTATTGAGTTAAAAAAAATACAAAATATATATATGACACAAGTAAGTGAAAACCAAAACAAAAACAGTCCAAACACTTCAATAAATCACAATTTACTAAAAACGTAAATTTAAATACTAATTTCAAACATTAACACAAATGCAACAAAAACGCAGAAAAGTGACTCTATTTGCCCCGATTTTGACAAGAAACGCCACAGAAAGTGAGTGAAAATAGATGAACAAATCGGACTTATCAGAGCCCCCAAATAGTTTATAAGAAAATATTATCCATGAACATTATTGTAAATGTTTTCAAAACAGAAACGGTGGAAGCAGTAACCAAGTCCTCCCTCCAATACCCCCTGTAACACTTGAGATTAATTTAAACGGATTAATAGTACTACTCATACCCACAGAGGTGCATCTTCTTTTAAGGGAGCTCATTAACTAAGAACTCCAAAGTTAAGCGTGCTTGCACGGGAGTAGTCTTGGGATGGGTGACCCCCGAGAAGTTTCTCAGGGCGCATGAGTGAGGACAAAGTGTGCGCTAAAGGCTTGTGGTGATTTGTAAGGACAGTACTAGAGGTCTGGTGTAACTACCTCGGGTCCTGCGGGGCCGAGGTGTTACACCCCCCCCCCCCCCCCCCCCCCGAAGCAACTGGTACTGGTAGCAAGGTCTAACTCCTACCTAAAACTGTGAGGTGGCCTCCCATGTGAAGGGGATGTCAGTACTTTGAAGCATTTGAAAAGTACAATGACAACTATACTATATATAATCAATGTTTCAATTCCTAAGATCCTCAAATAGCGTGATATCACAATATAGATGGTAATTCATCTTTACCCCTTATTATTTATATAATAAAATAATTTATCGGCTCACGGGCTCCGTTAGCATTTCATTTCATTTCTCGTTCGTATGATACAACCCGTTGGCGGTAGGTCTTATCAATCATACGAGACTTGTCACCACTGTCTAGGGGTGGACTCGGGCCGGGCGGCCCGGCCCGGAACCGGCCCGGCCTGGGGCCCGGTGGGTCCACCGGTTCAGTTCGGCCCGGCCCGGCTGCTGGGCGGTTCGGGCTCGGGCCCAATTTTTGGTGAACCGGCCCGGCCGGTTCGGGCCGTTTTTTAATTTTTTTTTGTTTTTTTTTTTTTGAATTTTTTTTTAAGTTTTGGGTTGGATTAGGTATTTTGGGCCATTTGAGGTGGTTTGGGGTGGTTTGGGGTTGAGGGGGAGGGGTTGGGGGTTAAATAGAAGAGCCAAAAATAAAACAAAAATTAGATACGGTTAGGCCCGGCCCGGAACCGGAACCAGAACCGCCCACCGACGGTTCGGGCTCGGGCCCAACTTTCCTGGCCCGAGGCCCGGCCGGGCCCAGGCCCGAACCGGCCCGAGTCCACCCCTACCGCTGTCAGAGGCCTTGTGGTCCTCGGGCCGGTGTCCAACATCCTGTCTCTGGACTCGTACCCTTCTTCTCGTAGGAAAGTAAGGTCCATTCGGAGTCCTATCTTAAGTGTTACCGTTGTCGAGAGTCTCGTAAGATCCCCGGTTCGGATTCCACTCCTACACGTGATCACGCCGTAAGTTCATGCTGTCGGACACGCTCTCTAAAGCCGAGTCGGTCCATGGTCCTTACTTTTTACCATCATTTACCCCCGGCTATCCTCAAGGACTACCGGAAACACCTGTTGTCTAATCCTATACCTAGGATCAATTCATAAATCAATTTATCTTGGGTAGCCTTTAAGGCCTACCCCTAATATAGCTTAGAGTTCATACATTTTCATCTTAAAGTATCTCTTAAGACTACTCAAGGTGCATATCTCACAATCCAACTTTTGGATCAATTTTAACATAATTTCATATTAGCACCCAACTAGTATTTTAGTATTAGCCGAATTAATTCTAGTACAATCGAGTTCCCAATTCATGGTCATATAGCTAATTCAAACCGATTTTCCAACCAAAATATAATTTATATCAATACACAAAATATCAATTTTGATCATTCATATAATCTTTATATGAAGTAAGAAGTATACTTTAACATAAGGCTTCATAGTAAATTCAACTAGCATGTCATCATTTTCACAACACATAACCATACATAATTTACTTCTAAATTTGTATATCATGCTCCTTTTCTTCATAGACCATAGTATTCTCATTTTTGGCATTATTAATCATTAATAATTCATGAAAAACACATTTAAACATCTTAGGTAATCTTATGAAATCAACTAACTAATTATAAGAAATATAGTCAGCCATCATCACCTTATGATGTGCTTAACTAGATGTCTTTTCGAATCCCCTTAGTCAATCCCCGTTCTAGGCCGATCGCAAAAGCCGGTTTGCTTTTACAAAAGCCGAACAACTTTTGGCTCC